TGTCGATGCCTTATTTGCCTGCACTAGCACTATGTCAATAAGAACAGCTAGCTAGCAGACGATTGTCAAGCAGGCAAGCAGGCAGGCAGGCAGGCAGGCAGGCAGAGCAGGCAAGGCAGGCAGGCAGGCAGGCAGGCAGGCATGCCATGCAGCAGGCAGGCAGACAAGCAGGCATCCAGGCAGGCCAGGCAGGCGGGCAGGCAGGCAGGCAGGCAGGCAGCAGGCAGGCAGGCAGGCAGGCAGGCAGGCAGGCAGGCAGGCAGGCAGGCAAACAGGCATCCAGGCAGGCAGCAGGGCAGACAAGCAGGCATCAGGAAGGCCAGGCAGGCGGGCAGAGCAGGCAGGCAGGCAGGCAGGCATCCAGGCATGACCCTCGTTGCGTAATACACACGTTTAACGCCTCGCAGCTCTTGTCATGCGTCTCTCTTGCGGTACGTGCGCGTGCGTGTGTGTGCGGCGTGCGTATGTGTGCGGGGTGGGGCGTGCGTGCATGCGTGGATGCGCGCCGTGTGTGCGTGCATGTGCGCGCGTGTTGCGTACGTTGCGCGTGCGTGTGTGTTGCGGGCGTGCGTGTGTGTGCGGGGGCGGGCGTGCGTGCATGTGTGGGTGCGTGCATGTGCGCGTGTGGTGCGTACGTGCGCGTGCGATGTGTGTGCGGCGCGCGCGCGTTGTGTGCGTGCGTGCATGCGTGGGTGCGCGCGTGTGAGTCTACAGTAACAGTAGCAGCAACCGTATTGCCAGTAGTCGCAAAGCAACAACAACAGCATCAACTGCAATATCATCATCATCATCATCATCATCATCTTCATCATCATCATTATCGTCAAAATTCCCAGCAGCAGCAGCAATAACACCAATGGCAGCCACAGTAGCAGTAATATCATCATCAGCAGCAGCAGCAGCAATAACAACAACAACAAGAGTAGCAGCAGCAATAACAACAACAAGAACAACAACAACAGCAACAACAACAGCAACAACAACAGCAGCAGCAATAACAACAACAACAGCAGCAGCAGCAGCGCACGATGACGATATCCACCCGCGGCAGATGCCGTCGAAAGCGGAACAGATTTAAGCAAATTTATCTCCGGTTCCTAATTGCATTATTCGCGAAAGCTGACAGTAAAGAGCGAACGCGACGCTATCAGACAACAGACTCCCGATACCATCGATCTACATGCGGGAACACCATCGGGAAAGAATAGCGCGGGGAAGCAGTATGGAGGAGGAGAGAGAGGAGAGGAGGAGGGGGAGGAGGGGTAGGAGGAGGAGGGAAGGGGGAGGAAGAGGGGAGGGAAAGGGTGAGGAGGAGGAGGAGGAGGAGGAGGAGGAGGAGGAGGCAGGAGGAGGAAGGAGGGCGGAGGAGGAAGGGGGAGGGGAGGAGAAGAGGAGGGGGGAGGAGGAGGGGAGAGAAGGAGGAGGGGGGATGAGGGGGAGAGGAGAGCGAGGGGAGGAGGAGAAGGAGGAGGCGGGAGGAGGAGGAGGAGGAGAAAGAGGAGGAGGAGGAGGCTGCACGGCCATATCACACTACGCTGCAGCCAGCACCACACTATCACGCGCCCGTGCACCGCATCCTTCTTTCGCCGGATTATCGCCGCATCCCACATGAGCACCGCCTCATCCCACATGACACTGCAGCATCCCATAGAAGAATACGCAGCATCCCACATGACTACTGCAGCATCCCACATGAGCACCGCATCATCCCACATGACTACTGCAGCATCCCATAGAAAGAATCGCAGCATCCCACATGACTACTGCCAGCATCCCACATGAGCACCGCATCTATCCACATGACTACTGCCAGCATCCGCATAGAAGAATCGCAGCATCCCACATGACTACTGCAGCATCCCACATGAGCACCGCCATCATCCCACATGACTACTGCAGCATCCCATAGGGGTTCCGCCGCATCCCAACTGAGCACGACAGCATCCCACAGACTACCGCCAGCATTCATATAGGAGCATCGCAGCATCCCACAGGACTACCGCCGCATACCACATGACAGCATCCCACAGGAGCCATGCCGCATACCTCAGGAGCACCGCAGTATCCGCACGACTATCGTAGCATCTTCCGCCCTAGAAACGCTGCATCCTTTTAAAGAAGCCCTTCTTTTCGCTCACGGGGTAGAGTAGGAAGATGTGGCTTCCTGTGGTGATGCTGCCGTGCTTAGTGTGAGAGGATGCAATAGTTATGCGGCACTCCTTCATGTATAGTAATGACACACGGACAGCACGTTTTCATCCGCCTGAGTATGACATGATATACATTCTTCTGATGAATCGCTAATCTAATTGTTTCATCCTTGCCAACTCTGACCCTTTCGCTTTTTTACCTTATATTTACATCTCTCCCTATCATCCTCTCTTTCCTTTCGCGGCTGCTAGCTGTCTGTGTATCTGCTGTGTCTGTCTGTGTGTTCTGTCCTCGTTTGCATCTTAAATATTTCCTCTTTCTCCTCTCCTCACTTCCCCCTCTCCATTTTACTCTTATTGCTCTTCGTTCTACATCGCAATATCTGAAAAAACCCGAATAGAATTAGAAATCCCAACTTTCCCCTGTGGAATTTCAACGGTTTTCCTCTTTTATACGATTACCCATGAGTACATCCAATAAACGCAAAAAACACCAGCAAGTACGATATTTATTCATGTACATAAAACGTGTATTTGCGCTTTCTGCGGGCAGAGGGGGCAGCGTGCGTGCGTGCGCGTCGCGCGTTCGTGCGTCGCGCGTGGGTGCCTGCGTGTGTAGAGCGTATCAGCATGCGTTGCTTGAATGCGTGCATGTTAGTACGCGTGATGCATGTGCGTGTGCGCGTGTGCGTGCGTATGTGTGCGCATTGTCGGCCCCGTGTTTGCTGTTGTGTGTGTGTGTGTGTGTGTGTGTGTGTGTGTGTGTGTGTGTGTGTGCGCGCGTGTGCTTGTGCATGTGCGCGTGCGTGTGCGTGTGAGTGTGCGCGTGTGCGCGCGCGTGTGTGTGTATGCGTGTGTGCGTGCGTATGCGTGTACGTACCGACAAACGCATGCGAGTGCGTGCATCATTGCGCGCGCGTGTGTGTATGTGTGCGCGCTATTCCGTTTACGTGCGCGTGTGTGCGTGCAGACAGCGGACTGCGTGCACATTGCAGCCAGCACTATACGCTCAGCACCCCGTGTGTTTATCGCGTGTTTTTTTCCCGCGTGTTTTAGTTTTATCATATAATAAGCGTTTTCGCTGCCTGTACCCCCCCCCACCCCCGCGCGCGCGTGCGTGCAGGCGGCAGCAGTGGCGTGTCGCTCGTGTCGCCTGACTGGCGACCACGGGTGTCGCTATAGCTGCTCTATCATAGCCGACCGTCATCGGGTCATAAATCTTCGCGTGCTAGACGCGCAGTCATGGAGTCGGGCAGCTGGAAGGGTTGTTAGTAGCTAACAAGCGAGAGGCCATCGACAATAGTCATCATTCTCCAGTAGTAGCAGCAGCAGCATCACTGGTAGCAACAGCAGCAGCAGCAGCAGTAGCAGCAGTAGCAACAGCAGCAGTAGCAGCAGCAGCAGCAGCAGCAGTAGCAGCAGCAGCAGTAGCAGCAGTAACAGCAGCAGCAGTAGCAGCAGCTGTAGCAGCAGCAGCAGTAGTAGCAGCAGCAGCAGTACGTAGTAGCAGCAGCATCAGCAGCAGCAGTAGCAATAGTAGCAGCAGTAGTAGTAGTAGTAGTAGTAGTAGTAGTAGTAGTAGTAGTAGTAGTAGTAGTAGTAGTAATAGTAGTAGTAGTAGTAGTAGTAGTAGTAGCAGCAGCAGCAGCAGCAGCAGTAGTAGTAGCAGCAGTAGCAATAGTAGCAGCAGCAACAGTGGCCTCTCTACTCGTCATCATCAGGGCCTACGAGACGTCGGACAGCATTGCATCAAAACCTCCTGCCGCACCAGGGTAGAGCCTGGCCGACGTCGCTACACAGGGTAGCGTAGTAGATGCGCTTTCCGTAGCGATGGCCCGCTCTCCCCCACGCACACGTGTCGGCGAAGGTTTGCCTTGTGATTTCACACGCACACGTGACGGCGAGGGCTTGCCTTGTGATTCCACATGCACAGATAGCCTTCGTCCACAGTTCGTCTGCGAGAGTCGAACCTAGGAAATCGAATCGATACGCAAAGATGTGCAAACGCCGTAGACGGGTTTTTTTCTAGACGCCCTCTGGCGGTGAGATGTGACGATTACTCGAGTTTCGTTATGCACTTCGTTTGGAAATGTGCGTGCGTGCGTGCGTGCGTGCGTGCATGCGTGCGCGCGCACGTGTGTGTGCGTGTGTGCGTGCGTGCGGACACGAAGTGATTCCATTCCAGATTTTCACGGTGGCCAGCGCACACAGCTCGGCGGTACGCACGCATGAGCACAAGTGCGTATATGACTCTCACAAAAAGAGCACCTTTACTTCTCTTGGCTGTACGCCATCTTGCTTTCCTTTAATCATGAATCGAATCTGAATATACTCATTAATTTAAAAACCCGTCCCGCCAGATGACGACGTGGCGTCACGCCGAGCAGACGAACGCCGGGCTGCGCATGCGCGGCAATTAGACCGATGAAATCATAAACAAAGGGACAGTCTATATTTTATTAAAAATCATAGACGGAGGGACCATCTATGTTTAATTAAATACAGTAAATACACGCTCGAGTCCACCCCCCCCCCTCCACACCGCTCATCGCTCAAATTCAATTCACTGTTTTATCGATGAAACAAAACAGCTCCCAAAATGCCATCCCACGTGACCCGTCCGGTCGATCGGCCACTAGATGGCGCGCGGCGTCGTGTTCGGTCACGTGACCCGTCGTTGTCAGACGAGCGCTCTAGTAGCGGTGTGTGTACACACGGGAGTCCGTTTTGTTAACAATGTGTACATTTCTAAAGCGACTCGTGAACGCCGTGATTGTATCTTAAACGATGTTTGATGAAAGGCCACATATTTTAAAGCTCGTCGTTTTTTTCTGTCTGTCGGAATATGAAATTATGTTGTTTCAGGAGGTCGCGTCTATATCATTATGGTTTGCTGTGACTCCACCTAGCATAGGTTGTCACGCGCGCTCTCTCTCTCTCTCTCTCTCTCTCTCTCTCTCTCTCTCTGGATGGATGGAGATTGGATACAATGGAACTGGATGGATCAAATGGAGTGGATGATGGATGGAGTGGATGGAGTGGATGGGAGTGGATTGGATTGGGATGGATGGATGGAATGGGATGGATGGATGGATGGATAGGAATGGATGGATAGGACTGGATAGGAGTGATTGGATAGGAATGGATGGATGGATGTGGATGGATGAACATGGATGAAGATTGAGGATGGATCGGATGGATTGGCATGATTCGGATTGGACCTGATGAATGGAATCGGATGGATGGATGGATGGGATGGATTTAGATGGACTGGATGGATGGAGTGGATTTATTAATGGATGGATGGAGTGGATGGATGGATGGATGATGATGGATGAATGGATGAATGGATGGATTGAGTGGAGGGTGATGGATGGAGGTGGGATGGATGATGGATAAATAGAGAATGGATGGATGGGGGTGATGATTAGGATGAATGATGATGGATGGATGGATGGACGTGGAATGGGAATGGATTTGATGGATGGAGTGTGATGGATGGATTGGACTGAATGGAATGGATGACGATGGATGGATGTGATGGATGGATGGATGGATGGATGGCATGGGAGTGGAACTGGAGTGGAGTGGATGCGATTTGAGTGGATGGACTGGATGATGATGGATCGGATGATAGGATGGAATGGATGAAGCGGTGAGATGGATGGATGGAATGGATGGAAATGGATCGGATTGGATTGGGATGGATGGATGGAGATGGGATGGATTGGATTGATGGAGATGGATGGATGGAGGATGGATGGATGGATGGATGGAGGATGGATTGGAGTGATGCGATAGATGGATCGGATTGGCGATGAAAGGAATGGGATGATGGGATAGATAAAATGGATCGGATGGATGATGGATGGATGAAATGGTATGGTGTGATCGGATGGGAGGATGATGAATGGATGGATAGGAAGGAAGTGAGTGGATCAGAGTGGATGGATGGATGGATGGAGATGGAGTGGAGTGGGATGGATGATTGGATGGATCGTGGATGGACTGATGGATGGATGGATGGATGGATGGATGGATGGATGGATGGATGGATGGATGGATAAATGGATCGATAAACGCATGTCAAAAACATACATGTATGCACGCACGTAAATGATACAGTTTCCTGGAACTGCGCTACCCGTTGAAAAACCCGGACACGTGTACCTGTCGGCAAGCCTGCCGACGGTAAGCCGCGCTGCAAGATGTCCATTAGATCGTGCTGCTGACTTACCGCGTCGCGATTGTGGGCGCCACGTGCGCGTGCCCCGGCCCTCATGCATATTTCATCAGTGTTCTGTGTTGTCACACGCTATGACAAGCCTTACCTCGTCACCGGCGTAGAAATAAGAATGACCAAGGTTGAAGACCAGCAGGAATCATTACGGACCACAGTTAGAGATCAATGATGAGACAAGCATAATTAACCCCGACGCAACAGCGCGACATTGACCATGTGGATTATACGTCTCGACTGCATGCCGCTAGAAGTGAAAGTGAATTAAACATCCAGTCGGTGTCGCTCCAGATTGATCAGCCGGCTGAAGTGTGGAGGTGTATGCCTGAAGGTCTGTTAGCGTCCTTAAGGCCCGCATGTTATGTTATGAAGCATGAAGGACATGCTACAGATGTCGCATGTCCGGCAACCAACCAATACCAACAATTGTTTATAAAGCTCTATTGTTTATAATAAGCGGGATCCGGCCGGATTATTGTTGTTGTGTGAAGCATGCGAATGATTTAGATGGAATGCACCTTCTCAAGTAGCGGAGTATAAGAGTTTGAATCTAGTGGTTATTTAGCATAATCAAAGAGCAATGTTTGTGTATGGCGACATTCTGTTTTGAATGCTTAATTCGAGGCTATGCTGGCCTATTGAGACGCTTTATTAGCTGTTGTAGACAAAGCACCTACAGAAGGCAGCGCTACGGAGACACCAGGTGTGTGTGTGTGTGTGGTGTGTGTGTGTGTGTGTGTGTGTAGTGTGTCGTGTTGTGGGTGGTTTGTGCCGAGCGTTGATGTGTGTGAGGTGTGTGTGTGTGTTGTGTGTTGTAATTTTTTGGTTTGTGTCGTGTGTGTTGTGATGTGTGTATCGCTGTTTTTGTGTGTGTGTGAGCTGACGTGATGTGTTGTGTGGCTGGTAATGTGGCATGTGGTGTGCTTGGTGTGTGTGCTGTGTGTGGAGTGTTGTGTGTGGTTGTGTGTGTGGTGATGTGTGTGTGTCTGTCGGTGTGATAGTGTGTGTGAGTGTGTGTGTGTGCTGTGTGCAGTGCACGCTAATCACCATACGCATTACATAATCAAATAACATTAAATTTGTCGACACAACGGTGCAAGTGGCTACGTGAATGGAGCGCTTTGGCCGCTGCAGAATGTTCACTCAACAGGCACCCCGGGACAGCCTGCCCCACCACTGACACCCTCGCTCGGCTCCAGTCCCCCCCCCCCTGTCCATCTATAATCTCTTTCATCTCTCGTCTCTCCTACATCTCTACTGCTCCTCTCCGTCCTCTGTCCTTCTCTCGTCCAGGTCCTTTCTCTCGCCTCTCGTCTCTGCGTCGTGATCTCTCTCTCTCGTCTCTCCCTCCCTCTCTCTCGCTCTCTTTCTCTTTCGCGTCCCTCTCTGCTCTCTTCTCTCTCGCATCTCTTTCTGTCTCTCTTCAGCCCTTCTCTGCTACTCTCTGTCTCTGTCTCTCCTCTCTCTCTTCTCCCGGAGCCTTTCCTCTCCCTCCGGCGCTCTTTACTCGCCCGGGCTCTCGCTCTCTCTCAGCCCGCCTCTCATCTTCCTCTGCTCTCATCTCTCTCTCTCGTTTGTTGGCGGTTAATACGATCTTTATGTGTTCGTATACCCCCTCGGTCGTGTAGTACTTAATGTATTAATCCCGCGCTGCAGTCGCTGCCGTGCGCCCGTTAGTGCGCTTGCTTTTGCCGTTGGCTGCGGTCAGTGCCGGCAGTGACGCGTGACTTTCCCATTCCTTCAATTACATCAATAACAGCCACACACACACACACCACCACACACACACACAGAGACAGCATCACCCATCACAGACAGCATCACGGAAGCCGGCCACACACACACACACAACACCAGCCAGCCAGCACACACACCACACAGCAACACACACACACACATCACATCAACACACCCACGCGATTAAGAGACA